CTGAGGTTTATCTTCCATGCCCTGGTGAGCTGCATGATGGGCTGGCTGGTGAGAAGTCAGTGATGCTCTGTGTGTATCATTTCCAATGCGCTTTCTGATCTGTCAAGATGAAAGGTTCTGGAGAAATGCTGAATAGTATTATTAGTGTAAAATAAACATACTTCTTCAATAGTTCTGATCCTAAAGTGGATCCAGATGCTTTCTTTTGGCTGCTGGATCTGCTTTGGTTTTTCTGTAGCTCAGTGTGGCCGTCTGCGTTTGTTCAAATGAGATGGGATGTGACACAGAGCTTGTCACAGCATGCTCTTGTCAAGTCTGTAAACCTTTATATTTACATGTGCACACGTGTACACACACACGTATATATAAATGATAAAATAACTGGCTTACTCTAAGACGCCATTTCCGAGTCCGACACTTCACACATGTGCCAAGGAACTTGGAATAAACTCAATGAGTTTATCAGTATTTATGATCACAGCAATCAGTTCAGCTGTGTAGGGGAGAAGTGGGATTTGGCTGCGTAACTCAAAGTAGTCTCTGAAGGAAGAGGATATGTCCATCTCTTCATAGCTCTGATACAAAAACAGTATTAAATGCCTCTTGATACCAGCCACCAGTTGTGTTTTCCAACCTGTGGTTGAGCTTTGCAAGAGGTAACTTTTCAGCTCTGTTTCAAGTGTAAAACAGTTTTCCCCTGTTTTGAGGATTATTAACATTTTCATGGTTTCTCTCCTACAGAGAAGAAATCTGCCCCACTGCTTAAGGCTGGTGTTTTATACGGGCTGGAGTTTTACCAGGGCTGGTGCCAGGGTGAAATCAAAGCAGCAGGAGCAGCTGGGTGGTCCTTCCTTCTGAGCTCGCCAGTGGGAAATGTTTCCAAACTGGTGTTTCAGTAAGATTCTAGACCCTGCTTAGGCAGAAGATGCTGCAAGATCTGCAGGGACTACCAGCTGTGCCAAGGGGACTTGCTAGTACCTTGCAAAGACTGGCACACAGAGAAAGCATGAATGGAGGTTTTGCTGGTGAAATGTTTTGTTTTGGTAACTAGAAATAATAGGTGTATGATCAGCTGGTAAAATTTCTAGAATTCTGAAAATTGGCGATAGTAGGATTTGTTACATGTTGTCATTTGCTGGTACTAGGAGTAGCTGCCCAAGGCTTCTTCACTGGTGTATGAGGTCTAGGGCTTTCACTGAATCCTACTCCATCCCCTGCCAACAAAAATGGGGAACAGTAGATTTTAGAGTCTTAGTTTTCAATAAATTTGGATCAGTCGCATCTGCATTAGGGACATTTTTGCTGCATGCACCTTCTCCATCCAAGCTGAAGACCATGTTCAAACTAAGCGACAACTTGAAGGTTGCAGCTGATTGCCCACATCTGCGCTGAGTGCTGTGTATGCTCATCAGCTCTAATCCTACCCTGCCTGAGACACAGTTGGTGTATTGATTGCTAAAATCTCTGTGAGTGCTCTACAGGGACCAAATGTTAAAAAAGGCTTGTCTGTGTTGTGCACATTAAACCTCTTGAGAAGTGGGATTTTGGGTCCTGTCTAGCTTTTGCAGTTTTCTGCAGCCTAGAGTCTGTATAATTACTTTTTATTGAATTCATCCTGTTACGCTGTTCTGGCATAAGATACTCCTGGATTAATAGAAACTAATTAAAAATCTGAAGGTTCTCACCTGTTTAATACAACCTTTCCTGTCTTTTGTCCAGCGTTGAGAGCTTGCTGTGCTTCCGTGGGCATTTTGGCTTCTTACTTAAACAGGAGAAGAAACAGCAAAGGTGAAAGAAGCCAGCTAACTAGGCATCATGCCCTTAGCAGAACACAAAGGTGTCTCAGGCTTCTTGGTCAGAGCCCTGTCTTGGGAAGGTGATATAGGAGATGACCACAAATTCTCGGTGTATTAGTTTCTTATCTTTTTGTGTGAGTTTGATGTAATACCAGTGATGGTTTTTCAACACAGGATGCCCGGTCTTTGGTTTGAGACAAACTCTTGAGATAATGCCACTAATTGCATCACTGGTATCATCTGGATTTACCCTGTCTGGAAATACCTGACAGGATCTGGTGTATACGATCACTTGCTGCCATGCAAAGGTAACTGCTCACCAACCCAGAGAAGACATTTCTGGTGGTGTTGTTTGTTTTGTTTTGTTTTTTTTTTTTTTTTTTTTTTTTTTTTTTTCCTGGAAACTTATGTGCTTTGAACTGCTGAGAAGTACTCAAGAAGACATAAACCCATGAGTTACTACAGGCTGCATGCCTGGAACGTGTAGGCCATCTCAACATATGGAGTAAATCAGCACAGCTCCGCTGACTTCAGCACAGCTGCATCTATTGCTGTTCACTGTAACCCTGCTCCAGACTGTAGAGATGGCTGTCTGTGAATAGTGGATAGAAAAAAAACTTCCTTCTTTCTTCCCTTTCCGTAGCTTTACACTCTATGAACAGAATAAATGTGCTACTCTTGGAGGTGAAATAGTAGATTGTTTTTGCCTCTATAAAATTACTGTACTTGGACATATGCTAAGTTCCCTCTCATTCCACTTGGTTCCCAAATCAAGGAGTTGATTAATGCATGCACTTTGTTACTGGCAGTCAAAAATACATCCCTGATTAGTTCAGAGATAAGAGATCAATGTCTAAAAAAATTCCCACATACATGCACCTGCACAAAAACAAGTCAGGCAGAACTGACTGTGCATAAAAACAGGGTGGGCAGCACCCGTGTGAGCCACAGGACTATGGGAAGAAGAGCTGCTTTTCTGTTTCCGTGTGCCAGGAGAAGCAATGCTATCAGGCTTATGTGTGATGGATCAGAGTGCAGTGGTATTGCTGCAAGCGAAAGTCATGAATTTTAATCAACTTTACTGGCTGCCTTGAAATTTGAGTTGAAAGATAAATGTGAAAAACAGGCAGCCTATATTGTTTCTGGAACAAAACTGCCCCTTTTCTGTTGATTAAAAGAATTTTTCTTTTAACTTGATAATCAAAATACTTCCATCTTAGTTCTAGAATTTTTTTTTTCAGTCTAACCCTTCAGGTCCAGCCAGCTGTGGGTGCCTCACTAAGACAAGTGTCACCTCATGGCCACCCAGATGGTTGACCCTGGCTGCAGAGACTTTCCAGCCAGTAGGGCTCATTGGCAGTTTGTTCCCAGCTGTTTTGAAAAATACAGTTTTAGGGCTTTATTTAAATATTCTTAATGATTTTTTAAAAGAAAAGTAAAGGAAAAAAAAAAAGTCTTGCCTAGGGAAAACTGCTGAGTGGACTGCCCAGGGAGTTTAAGTCCCGTTTTTATTCATTGGGGAAATTTGGCGCAGCCAACATACTTGTCCTGCCCCTCTGTTGTTCAAGGGCTGCTTTTAAGGTTATGTAGTTGCCATACTCATTTGAGCATCAGTCTTTTCAGTTAAATATAAGTGATATGAATGCTAACATTGTCTGCAGGGGACATCTAGGCTTTGGGAAGAAGTGTATTGAAACTATCAGTTTGTGTCCCTTGACAGAAACACACACCCGTCATGTTATTTCCAGCCACTGCCAGGCTGGTCCAGATTACTTTAAGTAATTGAAAGTGCTTTCCTCACTCATCTGTACAGAAGTTTGCTTCAGGGGTTATCATAGCTGCTTTTCCTGTTTTGCTATTAAGTCACCTCTGTGCAGGAATAAGTTTGAAGGATTGTATTTAAGGCCAAACAACTTTTAAGAAGGGGAAGGAGAAAATTTAGCATACAAGCACCAGAGAGGAAAAAAAATTGGTGGAAGACTCATGAGCCACTTCTCATCTCTCAACCACAAGTGCTGTGTTACTTTCTCATAGGACCTTTTATGGTTCAACTCCACACCTAGTTTCTTATCTCCTCCGTTAGCTCCTAGGTTCAACAACTGCTCCGTACTAGTGAAGTGTTCATTGCAGCTGCAGCAGAGGCTTATTTGGTGCTCTGGAAAATTCTTACTGCTTTCCCTAGTGAGAAAGGCCTTATATTTTAGGGCCTAAATTAGTGTGAAGGGCACATACAAACCTGCTAAGTACAAATTCCGGCTTGTTTGTACTCTCAGTTGGTTACACCCTTGGCTCAGAACCCAAATATTTCAAGAATTTGGGTTGAGGTATATCCTTTTCCAAAAGAGGCATGAAATCAGATTCCCCTTTTGTTTCAATAGGTGCAGTTTCTGTAAGGTCACCAAGTGTTTGCTTGAAGCAGAAATGTCAGTTCCTTCAAGGCACGTCCAGAGACTTTGGGCGTGGAGGTGATGCTTTGCTCTGGTACGAGAACCTGGTGCCTGCTCCTGGCACAGCTGAGATGACATGGCTCTTGTGCTGGTTGGAGTATGCTTTCTGTAAAGGAAACCCACCTTATTTCCATGTCCCTTTACAGGAAACAGGATGCCTTATAGTTCCACGCATTGCTGTACTGAGGCCATTGGCACTACGCCTGCTTACCCCAGTGGCTGATTTTCCTTTTTTCCCTGAGGCTTTCAAAGCATGTCCATACACCGAAGCAGAAGATTAGTTTCACTGAGGAGGCTCATTTCACATGCAAATGCTCTACGAGCTCCTGCACAAATGGAGGCTGCCTGATTTTTAATTTTTGAGAAAATATTTATTTATTTATTTTAATGCCCCACTGGAAACAGTCTCTGCTTTGTTTTGCTTGGTCCACCTTTCCTTGTTGCTGTGCTGCAGGTCTGGAGGTCAGCGTGGTGGGGCATTTACCAGTTGTTTTATCACACTGGTGGCATCAGTCTTGACGATTGGTAGGGCTGTTATTATTCATGATGTTATTCGTGGTATTATTTCTCTCCACTGCTGAAGGAGAAGAGCATTTGCCAATGCCTTGAGGTGTCTTAACATATCTGCACACTGGGTAATCAGCTTCTAGAGAAGCTGCACGAACATCCTGGGGCACGGTGTGTTGGGGTGCTGAGGTGGGGCGTGGGCATCGTGGGTTGAGCAGTTTGTAATCCCCATGGATCCCTTTCCTTGCAGTTACCTGGCCGAGCAGTGCTGGAATGGCGGCTTCGTCTACCTGATCATGTTGCGCCGCATCAAGCGCAAGGCCCCTCTTCCTCCCTCCAACGGCAACAACAGCAACAGCTGCGACCCCAAAGCCAAGCCCGCCCCCGAACCCGGCGACAGAGCCGCTCAGAATGGGAAAAGGACCAGGAAGTTTGGGGTCATCACCAGAACACCGGGCAGCAAGGACAGCAAAGAAAAGCCGGGCTCGGAGCACGGAAACGGGCACTGCACCCCGATGGAGGTGGAGGTTGCTCAGCCAGAGACCTCTGAAGCAGAAAGCAACGGGGACGAGCAGCTGCGGGGCACCGGGGCACAGTACCGGTGCCGGCTGTCAGATGGTGGTGTGCCAGACCTTGCTGACCAGTCTGCCCAGGTATGTTTGCGTTGGGTCTTTCTAGAAAAGGCAACAGCTAGCATGCAAGCAAATTAGGGGAATTTCTCAAGTGGTTTCCCTGGTTTCATTGCTCCATCCTTGAGCTGAGCCTCTGGGTGACAACCCAGAGCTGTCAGGCACCAAGCCGTGGGATGGGGTCCAAAACAGGTGGGGCAGGAGGATTTTAGAGTAAAATAAATAATTGTGAGAAACCTCTGGCATGCTCCAGCTGTGATGTAGTTGAAGGTCCTTATAACAGACCTGTCAGGCTGGGCCTCAGGTTTTCTTTTGCTGAGACAACTGAGGACCTTATGACACGGGAGCAGGGGATGTCAGGGAAAGATGGTCATTTTGTCCTTTGGGTCTTCATGTTTAGCTCTGTCTGAGCTTGACGACACCTTAAAGCTCATGTTAACATTGTAATTGAAGCTTCCCCTTTTTCATGCACCAGACCACAGTGTATTTATTTGTGTTACAAAAATTGTTTGGCTGGTGCTTAAGAACCACATGGAAGCTATTGTGAATTTTGCCTTGAGTTGATGAGATGGATGATTTGTTAATGTTTGGGACAACAGTGGGATTGGGGCTTTCATTACTTCTCTCTTGATCCTGATGGAGAACTTTGGGTTTGTTGCCTGGCTAGGATTGCAGTGTTGCTGGATGGAGAAAAATAACCCAAGCCTTGATCAGATTTCAGTATGCATCTATCACCAGAAAAGCTATCTGCCAATCTTTGCAGAGACACTGATAGTATAAACAGATGAATGCTGCTTTGTTGCGCTTGGGGCTTGCTGCCGCAGCTGGTTTTGGTTTTAAGACTTCAAAGCTGGTAACAGAGCAGTAGGAGTGGACATCTCATCACTAAAATCTACTGAGGAAAGTATGGGTTTAAATGTGTCTTCTGAATTAGTGGTCCTCAATACTACAGCAAGCTGGTGGTGCTGGTGGTTGTAAACTTGAACTGAATTACCTTAAAGTACAT